GCGGCTCGGCTGCTGGGCGGCTCGGTGGCTCGGCTGCTGGGCGGCTCGGCGGCTCGGCTGCTGGGCGGCTCGGCTGCTCGGCGGCTCGGCTGATGGGCGGCTCGGCGGCTCGGCGGCTCGGCAGCTGGGCGGCTCGACGGCTCGGCTGCTGGGCGGCTCGGCTGCGCAGCTGCAGGGCGGCTCGGCCCTCCCGGTACTCGGCGGCGCGGCGGTCGGCTGCTCGGGTGCACGATGCAGTGGGCAAGGAGTTGAGGGCGGCGGGGCCGTTAAGTGCAGGGCGGCGGGGCCGTTAAGTGCAGGGCGGCGGAGCCGCTAAGGGTAGGGCGACGGGGCCGCTAAGGGAGGGCGGCAAGGCCGCGAAGTGCAGGGCGGCAGGGCCGCGGTAGAGGGGCGGCGGGGCCGGGCCGTGCAGGGCGGCGGGGCCGCGAAGGAAGGGCGGCGGGGCCGCGAATGAAGGGCGGGGAGGCCGCGAAGTGCAGGGAGCGGCAGGGCCGCGACGTGCAGGGCGGCGGGGCCGCGAAGGGAGGGCGGCGGGGCCGCTAAGTGCAGGGCGGCGGGGCCGCTAAGTGCAGGGCGGCGAGGCCGCTAAGTGCAGGGCGGCGAGGCCGCGATGTGCAGGGCGGCGGAGCCGCGAGTGAAGGGCGGCGGGGCCGCGTAATGCAGGGCGGCGGGGCCGCGAAGGAAGGGCGGCGGGGCCGCGACGTGCAGGGCGGCGAGACCGCGACGTGCAGGGTGGCGGGGCCGCGAGTGAAGGGCGGCAGGGCCGCGTAGTGCAGGGCGGCGGGGCCGCGAGTGAAGGGCGGCGGGGCCGCTAAGGCAGGGCGGCGGGGCCGCGACGTGCAGGGCGGCGAGGCCGCGACAGTAGGGCGGCAGGGCCGCGAAGTGCAAGGTGGCGGGGCCGCAACGTGCAGGGCGGCGGGGCCGCGAAGGGAGGGCGGCGGGGCCGCGTAGGTAAGGGCGGCGCGACGGGCCACCAGAGGCGACACGGAGGGTCGCTAAAAAAAAGGTAGGGCGCGCCTCGGGGCGCGCTTCGGTGGGCCCTAGAAGCAGTCCCTAGGAGGGAACCTGCTCTGATTCCATGTGAAAGGAAGGAACACGAATGAATGAACTATGAAATGTGTGAGTACAAGTACCAACCCTAATTGGGTTGTACCCCCTATGGGATACCCCACTATAGCCTACACAACAGCATAAGCTATAATGTTCTGACAAACTTGACATTCCCAACCTCAGTCTCAGGCTCGTCACGCGACAACCACAGTCTATTGCCATTACCACTGTAGTTTCGCTATATATTCTTCGCTCATGCCTTCGCTCATTGTACTCTTGCTTCGATAGTGCAATTCTTAGTCGTTCACTCAATTGCACTCGTAACATTTGGCATTCAGAGCCTACGATCTCTTCTCGGACCGCACCCACACCCTCGATTCCCCACTATCTCAATTTTTGGGGGGGGTAGACGTCTCTCAGCGACACAGCACCACCGCTCGTAGTGCTCTCTCGTAAGCACGCACGGCCACGACCAAGGCTCTCGCTGAGCTCGCCCGACACCCCCGCCCTGGCCGAATTCACGCTCGCCACATTGACGCAGGAGCAGCTCGATCGTCTGGTGCGCCAACTTGAAGATTCGGCGCTAGAAATTGCAACGCTCACGGCGAAACGTGACTCCGCGCGTCAGCAATCAACGATGAACACTCCAGCGCCACCACACGCACCGACAAATGCATCTACACAATCGGACAAGCCGATCGTCATCTTGTCCAGCACACCAACACAAAACAACAGCGTGGGACAGCGCTCAGGCGCAGCCAGCGATGGCGCCGCCCAGCCGATGCCTGGCATGGGAGGAAACAGGGTCGCACCAAGCCCGCGGGAGCCTCGCGAAGCCCGTTGGCACGTGGATTTCGCGGCGACAAGTGGCGAACATGCCATTATGGCACCAATGCCACTCAAGCAGCAACGCCTGCCCTGCTTCGACCCGAGCCAGCATGGAGGTCCGACGATTCAATCGTGGGTCTTCACGATGAACGTCTTCTTCGAGGCGAATTACATCGAGTCGGACACAGCAAAGATTCGGTATGTCGTTTCGCTGCTAAGGGGCCCCGCCATGGACTGGTGGCGAGTCATCGTGACGTCGCCACACGCCTACGAGCCACCGTCACAAGAGGAAGGGCCCACGGGTCCAGCTGTCACCTGGAGTTCATTCTGCGAGACCGCCCAATGCAGCACGTGGGATGCGTGGTGCGCAGGGTTTCGGGCGCGCTTCGAGCCGATCGTGGCTTCTATTTCGGCGCATCACAGATTGCGCACTTGGCGGCAGCTCGGATCGGTTCAAGACTATACGAGTGTTTTTCTCGCATTATGCGAGCAATTTGGCTACATGCACGAAGCGGAGAAGGGCTGATGCCGGACATCTCGCACGAAATCATGCTACGCGGGCTCTCGAACTTCAACGAGATGCTCGCGCTCGCCGAGAAAATCGACATTTTACACCGTTCGAGACCGGGGTCCTACTATGGACATCGTCCTCGGGGACCGATCGAGCACGCCACTGTACACGCTGTTGCGACGAATGCAGCTGCCACGCCGTTTAAGGGGTGCTGCTTTGCTTGCAATAGGCCGGGCCATCGCAAGAGCGAATAGCCAGAGAAGCTAAGGCGCCGCGGAGCAGAGCAAGGGAGGGAGTCTCCATGGCAGGGAAATGCCAGCAGTCGGTAGGAATTGGGCCAACTACTGACGAGACGGCCTGCTCGCACAACCCCACAGACCCTCACCGAGTCACAGTATCGATACATGCTATCGATCGGACTCGGACGAATAAGGAGGGTACAACGAATACAGGGAAAATACAGGGAGCAGCATTGAAGATTTTTATCGACAGAGGAGCAAGCCACAGTTTAGTTAATACCGCGACCGCATGAAAACTGCAACTGACACTTAGTCGTTGATTACCGGAGATAGACGCACGCTTAGTTAACGGCACGCCACTGGCCATACGGGAAAAAGTAGAGAGTCAAAGTCCGCTGCGGGGGGAATTTCGGGTTTACACAGGAAATGCTCGCAACAACACTGGATGGGCACGATATTTTACTGGGACGTGATTGGGTGCGACGGTACAACCCGCGAATTGACTGGACGATGGGTAGCTGCACCGTGCAAAGTAGTGGTAACTAGGTCGAGCTACCTCGCTGGCAGTCGCCCGAGTCTTCAACGGTACACGTCAACGCCGTCTTAATGAAACGGGCTGTCGCTGCTGGAGCTGACGTGTACGCAGTAGACATCGCAGTAGTGGAGGGAGCAGAGCAAGCTAGTGATTTCAAGAAACTGTTGGCAGCAGTACCGCCGAAGCTACAGGAACTGTTGAAACGATATCCCGGGATTTTTCCCGACGATTTATCAGAAGGGCTGCCACCTCAGCGCGCACATGACCACCGAAAGAATTGGAACCGGGGGCACAGCCAACTGTACAGCGCCAGTTTAGACTGACACAGCCCGAGCTCGACGAACTAAGGAAGCAGTTAGATTACCTGTTAGAGAAAAAATTCATCCGACCGAGCTCATCACCGTTCGCCGCGCCGATACTGTTCACACCAAAAAAAGACGGGGGTTTTCGCATGTGTATTGACTACAGGGCACTAAACAGGGTATCAGTCAAGCCGCGGTACCCCATTCCCCGCGCCGACGAACTGATCGACCAACTGCGAACAGCTCGGGTTTTTTCGAAAATAGATTTACAGGGAGGTTACCATCAGATTAGGGTCAAACCATCGGACTGCACCAAAACAACTTTCCAGACTAGGTACGGGTCGTTCGAGTACACTGTGATGCCATTCGGGCTGACCAACGCAGCAACAGCCAGGCGGCAGCAACAGCAGCAGCAGCAGCAGATGCTGCTGCTCGTGAAGCAGCAGCTGCAGAAGAAGCAGCCAGGCTAGAGGAGGAGTTGGGCCCCTGGCAGAGACGGGCAGGCCACGGCAAAGTGCACATGGCTTCAGATTCAGAGCTAGACGGGGACGATGAGGAAGATTATTCTCATGATAGCGATAGTGAATCTTAGTTCGTATTCTTTGTATGGTTATCTGTAGAAATAGTGTAGTCTGTGTGTAGAGTAGACTACATAGTTACATAAATGTCTGATTTCGTAAAAATCTGTCTAAGCGGACATACTAACTTAGAAAATCCGTTTGAGGCAAAGACCATCAGGAATCCTCCATATGAGGGCCAGATGATTTTTTTTTTTTTTTTTTGGAAAACGTCAGGCGGGCCTAAAAGTTACCGTAGCAAGAGCCCTGGCGTACACGGTACACCACTGTAGCACCACAGTCAGCACCGTTACCACTCGCAACCCTCACATCGACAATCCTCCCGCCACCTTCGCACGTTGACGTCGCACCCCGACCTCACGGCTCGATGGGTAACCCGCACTCCGGGCCTCCGCTTCGACACTTTTCCCAACCTCAGTCCCAGGCCCGTCACGCGACAACCACAGTCCATTACCGTTACCACTGTAGTTTCGCTATTTAGTCTTCGCTCATGCCTTCGCTCATTGTACTCTTGCTTCGATAGTGCAATTCTCGTTCGTTCACTCAATTGCACTCGTAACACAACACCATGCATGCACCTGTCAAACAACTTAATGCACCTGTAGTAGCATGGCTGCGTGGTTGGTGCTGGTGGAAAGAGAACATGCAGAAGGAACTCCCTAGTGGTACATTCATGACCTACCGTACTACACTCCACCTCCACCTACCCTAAAGCAGCAAGAAAGCGGTGATGGAAGTATACGTAAGAAAGCATGGTGGCTGGCAAGAATCTTCTTAAAGTCAAACCCCATTTCACACGCAATCTAAGTGACACCATACCACATGGCAGTGGTGTGAGTGAAAGGTCCTCAGGGCTGGTACAAACGCGCCCAACACTCTGCCTAGGCTGCGATTGTTTCACTCCACAAACCCCCGTCCCTTCCCATCCCTGCTCCTTCTGTTCTCGCCCCACTTCCCATGCACTGCCCACTGCCCCTCCTTCATTCATGGTCGCCCTGCTGCCATCCTGCACCACCCCGTGACTTGACCACTCCCCTGACCAAATCTTCCCAAAACGTGCCACCTCCGATTTTGTTGCCAGCTGTTTGAGCGTTTCCCCCCGGCTCCCCTTACTGCTGCTGCAATCGTCCCGACAACTCTGCTCCCCCCTCTGCTTCAACCGAAAAGCACCAAATCTGCTCCCATCCAAGCCTGCTCCCACCCAAGCCTGCTCCTATCCGAGCCTGCTCCTATCCGAGCCTGCTCCCATCCGAGCCTGCTCCCATCCGAGCCTGTTGTTGACTTAATCAGCTCACGTGGCATCTCATAATCTTCCACACGTGCGTCGCACCCTGCATCCCCTTTCCACTCCCTCCCTCCCTACTTCGCTCCCTGTTTACGTCCCATCCTCCCTCTTTCCCTCCCATGCTCCTTTCACTCCCATCCTCACTCTTTCCTTCTCTCCCTCTTTCTCTCCCATGCTCCAGCTTTCCCTCCCATTCTCCCTCTTCCCCTCTCTCTCTCTCTCTCTATCCCGCCCTCCCTCTCTTTCTCTCTTCCTCTCTCATTTCCTCCCTACCTCCCAACTTCCCCCCCTCCATCCCTCCTCCCAGCCTCCCTCCACTGCAGCCCTACCTTTCAACACTTATCTCCACCGCTCCTCTCCACTGCTCTCGCCACTGCTCCCTCGCACCAAATTCCATTACCCCTACTGTGCCCCTATTCCATTCACCGCTTCCCCTCACTTCCTCCCTTCACCTCCTCCTTCACCTTCCCTTTCCCCTCATCCCTTCCCATCTCTCCTTCGCCTCCTCCCTTCCCCTCCTCCCTTCCCCTCCTCCCTTCCCCTTCTTCCTTCCTCCTCCCTTCCCCTCCTCCCTTCCCCTTCTTCCTTCCTCCTCCCTTCCCCTCCTCCCTTCCCCTTCTTTCTTCCCCTCCTCCCTTCACCTCCTCCCTTCCCCTCCTTCCTTCCCCTCCTCCCTTCCCCTCCTCCCAACCCCTCCTTCTTCCCCTCCTCCATTCCGCTCCTCCCGTTGCCTACTCCCTTCCCCCTCCGCCCTTCACAGCTTGCCAAAGAATTACCCAGCAACTTTTTCTGCAGCGCAGCAGCAGCCACACTTTTGCGACGCCTAAATCGCCTCTTCCCTTTCCCTCCTCCCTTCATACCCCCCCCCCCCCCCCCTTCATCAACCCCCCCTCCGCCCCCCACTTCCCCCCAATTCACCGTTTCCCAAAGAGATACCCAAACAGCCCCTTCTTCTGAGGCGCAGCCGCCGCCGCAGCAGCCGCGCCCTTCTTATCATGCCCCTTACTCGCCCCACCACCACGAGCAGCAGCAGGCGGAGCCGCCTCCGCTTCTTTCTCCCCCTTTGTCTGCTCCGCGTATTTTTTCAGCATGGGCAGCACCACCGTCTCCAGATCCGGCCGGCTCATCCTGTCCCTACATTTCAGCGCCACGTCAGCAACCTCCTTCACAATCTCCGGGTTCCACTGAACCGTCTTATCCAGATGATCCAGAATCCCATCCAACCCGAATTTCGCAAACTCAAGCACCTTATTCACCTTCTCGCCGGTCAACAGCTGCAGGATCACCAACCCTAATCCGTACAGATCCGACTGCGGGCCGTACTTCCCGGTGCGGAGAAGCAGCGGATCGATGTAACCAACCGTACCCCAGATCGACGAGTCGTTCGCGGGGAGAAACTTCGCCAGACCGACTCCTCCGACCTTACAGGAGAGATCTTCGTTCAGCATGACGTTTCCGGGTTTCACGTCCTGGTGGAGAATCGGCGGCTCGAGATGGTGGAGGAAAAGCAGCGCTTCTGACGCCTCCGCCGCGATCCGCAGCCGGTGCTTCTGCTTCATCGTTTTCCGTCCCCCCTCCGTCAGCAGACGGTCCTCGAGGCTCCCCGCCGGGAGCGACTCGTACACGATACAGCGTGCCTCGGGATTGTACCCAAGGAGCTTGACCAGATGCGGGTGGTCCGCGCGCGTGAGGATGGTCACTTCGCGGGTGAATTTCTCCGCGGCTTGGCGGGTGTTATCCGGGTTCAGCTTCATTACAAGCACGGGGGAACCGTCCGCGAGCTTTCCGCGGTAACCCGTGCCGAAGCCGCCGCGACCGAGCGAGTTTTCCCGCGCGTAGTTATTCGTGGCCTCGTCGAGCTCCTCTGCTGTGAACGTCGTTAAGGCCGCCTCGGTCCCCATCGCGATCTACTGGAGCTGGTAATATTGTTGCTGCTGGTACAGCTGGTGATAACGTTGCTGTTGGTAAAGCTGATGATGCTGTTTTTAATCCCTAAAAATAAAACACGTGCTGCTGTTGCTTGAGGGTACAGGCTGTTTTGCCGCGAATAGCATGGCCTATGCTACCTCGGACTCCGACACGTGGCAACAAAATGACATATAAAGTTGCGAGTTAAAAATGTGGAACTCGAACCAGATAATAACTGCCTCACGTTACCTGCGTCTGTCACACTCGATAATGGCCACACCGATAGATACCCGCTAACAACAACTATTAGCAGCAACGTAGCAACGTCCACCACTAACTTGAATATCCTTGACTTATGTCACCAAGTTCACATATTACGGTTGCTCCCGTTGTTCTGCTGAATAAACTAGACGCGTGATGTAAAGGTAACGAACTCGAGAAAAACTCGCAACCGAGAGTAAGGAATCACGAAGGCCGCGATGGTCGGAGACTAAGGACGGCCGAATATTTGAGCCAAAGTTGATCTGAGCTACAAATGCACCAGAAAAAACAATTCCCAGCCCTCAAGGTATTGCTGCCATATTGTTGTCTCTAGCAAAAGGATCAGATCAGTGCATTTTCTGGCTATTCAGACTTTCTTTTTCCCTGGCCTTTCGCCCTGGGTGCCTAGCGGGTTCGTTGCTCACGCTTGTCAGCTGAAGAGGTACAAGGTTTGCTGAGATGCATTTTAGCCGATTAGAAGATTTTAGAGCGTTAAAGGAAGATCCAGTCAGATACAGTGTGATGAGGTATGGTGGCATGGTGGGCGTTCAAACTTGCTCGTTCTATTCGTACACCCCAAATACACTGGTGCACTCAGTTCCTAAACTTCACGGAAGGGGGATGCTATGCTGTGGTGGAGGGAGAAACTGTCAGAAAGAAGGGTCTTGTTTCGTGCGGTCGATTCACTGTTGAATTAGCTTTCGACTTGCTACCGCGTTAGTGGCGTGACGAATAAATTTCTCTCTACAATGATAGATGCATATCCATTCAACAATGTTAGATAATTTCAGTGTAGCAGACCTACCCATTGTAGACAACATATTGTTACAAGGTCTGCAGTATAATAAGCGCTAGCTGCGAACTGGAAACCGCGATACCATGTACACTTTACACGAGCTGGCCGCAGTCCTGAATAGTAACCTCCACCGACGTCTTGCCACTGTCGCTACCGACTGACTCCAGCTTGTCAACGACATCCATTCCTGATGAGACAAAAAGCAAATACCACACTTTAAATCTCAAAAGATTTCAAACTTCCACAATCCCCATCTTACTGCTTGTCAACAACCACCATCCCCACACAGCTGTCTCCCTCACTCACCTACCCCCCTTACTAGTATACCCCTTAGTTCTCCCCACATCCCCTCCCAACCCCACTAAACCCACCTGAAACCACCTTCCCAAAGACGACATGCTTGCCATCCAGGTGAGGCGTAGCAGTGAAGCAGATGAAGAACTGGCAGTCTGAGAGGGTGGGGAGGGGAGGGGGAGAAGCAAGCATGGAAAGTGAGTTGGTTGGAAGCACCAACGCACATGCACACCCATCATCTATGACCACCTTCCTGGTGACGGCCGTCCAGGTAAGGCGTAGCAGTGAAGCAGATGAAGAACTGGCAGTCTAAGGGGGTGGGGAGGAAAGGAAGGAGGAGGGAGGGATGGGGGAAATGGGAGAGAAGAGGTTAGAAAGTGAGGTGGTAGCATTAACGCACAGCCAGCCCCCCAAACTGCAAACAACATCCCAAGCGACAGTCTGAGCTATGTGATACAGGAAAGGGAGGGTGACAGAATGAACACGAGGTAGTGTAGGCGAGTGATAAAAGAGAGGATGATGCAAGAGAGGGTGACGCAAGGGAGGGTGGTGAAAGCAAGGATTGATGGTGTGATCCGTTTGAAAACGAATTCGTCAGGAAAGTGCAAAACGGGGGAATGACTTTGCACTGTGACACACATCCACCATTGTTCCTCCACTCACTATTCGTGTTGGGGCCGCGATTCGCCATGGAGAGAACGCCTCTGCCGGTGTGCCTCAGCTCGAAGCTCTCGTCAGGGAACGGCTGGCCGAATATGGAACTGCCGCAGTTGCCTCCCTGCCATGTGAAATATGTGGTAAAAAACAAACAAACAAACAAAAGAAAACGGAAGTAAAGTTCGGACACGTAGCAGATGGAGTAGTGGGAGAAGACAGGGACGAGGTTTAGTGTCGACCTAGAAGGCGAGGGACGATGAGAGGGACGCTTGTATACAGGCGGATGTGTGACGCAGTCTGCGTTTACCACTTACCTGCGCTGTCACCTACCCGCGATTCGACGCGTACCTACGTTTGGACGCGCACCCGGAGTTCGACACCTACCTGCGGTTCGACACCTACCTGCGGTGCGACCCGTACCTGCGCCATGAATCCGGGGATGATGCGGTGCAGCGTCAGGCCCTTATAGCCCAGTCCCGAGCTTGTCCCATTGCACAAGCCGACAAAGTTCTCCACCGTCTTCGGCGCCACGTCCGGCCGGACCTCCACCTCGATTCTGCCGACGAACTGCCCGTCGAACGCAATGTCCAGGAAGCATCGCGGTCGCGCTGCGGAGCTCATCGTTGAAAACCGTTTGAAACCGAATACGACCGTTTAAAAGCCGACTGAAAGCGCTGCGGCTTGAAGGCTTCAAGCTCACTTCCGCGTTTGCGACACGACCGGTGTGTCCGAAATGGCGAAAGCTTTCGCGAACGACGAAATCCGTATGTCCTCACGGACAAAGAGCGAATCTGTGGAGGGCGAAACAGATTCTTCTTCAGAAAGGAGAGAGCGCAAGGGAGCGACGAGCGGTACCTACGGACGGACGAGAAGCGGAGAGGAGGCGACGACGAGACCAAACACCAGATCTTACGGAAACATTATGGCCGGTCCCTATTCTCGATAATTTCACACCCCTTAAGCGCACACCCTGGAGTAAATACTCCCGGTCAAACGTTTAAGTAGGGTAGCAAGCAACGATTGTAGACTATCGGAGGAGGGGGTCTCGCAACCTTCTCGCGAATGGAAGAAAAAAACCTGGAGTTTCAAGGGCAGCCATCCACCCCTACTACTCACTCGGAAAATTAAGTGCTAGACTCCATACTACCCTCGTCAATCTTTGGGTGTCTCTCATATCGAACCAGAAAACGTACAGGGTACCTTCGAAATAGAGGATAGGGGTATGCAATTATCGAGAATAGGGTGTACAAAGAAGAATGTCGCCTACGGGAATTTATTCTTGTCGTATCCGTTGAATGCCTCGCTCGCGGTGTTCCCTATGCCAGGAACCAGGACGAGCTTCTTCCTTAAGATCTCAAGGTTGGCGAAAATACTTGCGTAACATAGAGATTGTTACATTACCGAGCTTGAGCAACTGGAGCGCAATAACCGTATACAGTCTCCGCCATGACAACCTAGGATGCTCGTTATTGACATCAGCCTAGAAATAACAGATATGGTAAGGAATATAGTTGCACCCCGCATGTCACGTGCCCTTTCCCAAGATGGTCAACCTACAGAGCACTTTCAGAGTGCTTTGTTCAGCCCTCCCTCCACCCCGCCCCAATGCATTCACAAATCTAAGCACAAACCAGAGTGTTCTTGAGAATTCTCAGAAACACCCAACACAAAATCCACACAATGCCAGGAAAAGGCTCAAGGAATAAGACCCAATGAGTGAAACCTGCTCTGTGAAGTTCCTGACCTGACTCCTCCTGAGCTGAGCCTGCCATATTGTGGAGGCATATCAGATTCAGAAGTTACAATTGCCTGAAATTGTGCCATCACCCTGTTACGGTTACCATACCTGCCACCTGTTCCTGCTACGGTACTCACAACCTGTTAACCAAGCATAGGAAGAGGTTCCTTCTTGGGTAATCCTTCCCCCAAGTACCCTCAGAATAGCCCACCCTTTTATGCACTCCTGCTGCGGTCACAGCTGCTGCTGCTGCTGCTGCTGCTGCTGCTGCTGCTGCAGCTGTGCTGTTGCTGCTGCTGCAGCTGTGCTGTTGCTCGCTGCTGATGCTACTGCTTCCCCCAACCCCCCTGCAATCTCCAGCTGCGATTGCAATCACAGCAATAGATGCTGCTGCTGCTGCTGCCTCTGCTGTCGCTGCGGCTAGCGCTGCTGACATCCTTGGGCAACTCACAAGCTGCATCGGATTAACCACACAAAGCAACCTCCTGATGGGCGAAACTCAAGGCTCGGCTTAACCTGCGGCCTGCACGGTGACTAGACTAGCCCCGCTGCAGCTACATGCGACACAACAGCTGAACGGCCTGAGTATCAGAAACCTCCCTGCTGCTACGTTGGAAGCAGTTTGAATGCGAGAATCCCCCTGCCTGAACCTCCCTTTCCCTGGCCTCCCCCTCCCTCCCAGCCCTCCTCACCCTGCCCTGCTTTCCCCCACCCTGCCCTGCTTTCTCCCACCCTGCCCTGCTTTCCCCCACCCTGCCCTGCTTTCCCCCACCCTGCCCTGCTTTCCCCCACCCTGCCCTGCTTTCTCCCACCCTGCCCTGCTTTCCCCCACCCCTCACGATGCCTCCACTGACATGCCCATTCTCATGCCCCAACCCTGCATCGCCACCTGCCCCCCACCTCCCTCCGCCCCCAACCACCCTGCTCCCCGCCCTGCTCCCCACTCTGCTCCCCACGCTGATCCCTACCCCCTCCCACCCCTCACGATGCTTCCACCGACATGCCCATTCTCATATCTCGACTCTGCACCCCACCACCCCCAACACCAACACTCCCACCGCCGCTGTCCCCATACATGGGCGAGCGAGCAGCAGCCTCCTCAAGTCGTCTCCACGCGAGCTCCCTGCCCGTCTGCACGTCCCTTCCTGCCTGCCTGCCTGCCTGCAACCTCCCTCTCCCCCGCCTCCTCCCTCCCTCCCAGCCCTCCCCACCCTCCTCCCCTCCCTCCTCCCCACCCTGCTCCCTGCTTCCTCCCACTCACGATGCTTCCACCGACATGCCCATTCTCATATGTCGACTCTGCACCCCACCACCGCCGCCAGCGTCCCCGTACATGGGCGATCGCGCAGCAGCCTCCTCCTCCAGTCGTCTCCACGCGTGCTCCCTGCCCGCCTGCACGTCCCTCTCCTGCGCCTCCTCCTCCAGAAACTGCCTCTGGCAGTCCTCGTAGAGAGCTTGATCCATTTCCAGAAACATCTTGCGCACGTTGATGGTTAAACCGTTCACCGCCTATAATGAAGGGTAAAGGAGGATAAGGAGAGCGGGAGGAGGGAAGGGATGCAGCACAGCATGCATTGGGCACGGGGAGGAACTGCCTCTGGCAATCCTCCTCGTAGAGCGCCTGGTCCATCTCCAGAAACATCTTCCTCACGTTGATGGTTAAACCGTTCACCGCCTGGGTGGGATAGAGGAGGGCGGGAGCGAGGGTGGGGAGAGGGTGAGACACTTTTGAGAATTCTCACTTTTGAGAATTTTCACTTTTGAGAATTCTCACTTTTGAGAATTCTCACTTTTGAGAATTCTCACTTTTGAGAATTCTCACTTTTGAGAATTCTCACTTTTGAGAATTCTCACTTTTGAGAATTCTCACTTTTGAGAATTCTCACTTTTGAGAATTCTCACTTTTGAGAATTCTCACTTTTGAGAATTCTCACTTTTGAGAATTCTCACTTTTGAGAATTCTCACTTTTGAGAATTCTCACTTTTGAGAATTCTCACTTTTGAGAATTCTCACTTTTGAGAATTCTCACTTTTGAGAATTCTCACTTTTGAGAATTCTCACTTCTGAGAATTCTCACTTTTGAGAATTCTCACTTCTGAGAATTCTCACTTTTGAGAATTCTCACTTTTGAGAATTCTCACTTTTGAGAATTCTCACTTTTGAGAATTCTCACTTTTGAGAATTCTCACTTTTGAGAATTCTCACTTTTGAGAATTCTCACTTTGGAGAATTTTCACTTTTGAGAATTCTCACTTTGGAGAATTTTCACTTTTGAGAATTCTCACTTTTGAGAATTCTCACTTTTGAGAATTCTCACTTTTGAGAATTCTCACTTTTGAGAATTCTCACTTTTGAGAATTCTCACTTTTGAGAATTCTCACTTTTGAGAATTCTCACTTCTGAGAATTCTCACTCCTGAGAATTCTCACTTCTGAGAATTCTCACTCCTGAGAATTCTCACTTTTGAGAATTCTCACTTCTGAGAATTCTCACTTTTGAGAATTCTCACTTTTGAGAATTCTCACTTTTGAGAATTCTCACTTTTGAGAATTCTCACTTTTGAGAATTCTCACTTTTGAGAATTCTCACTTTGGAGAATTTTCACTTATGAGAATTCTCACTTTGGAGAATTTTCACTTTTGAGAATTCTCACTTTTGAGAATTCTCACTTTTGAGAATTCTCACTTTTGAGAATTCTCACTTTTGAGAATTCTCACTTTTGAGAATTCTCACTTTTGAGAATTCTCACTTTTGAGAATTCTCACTTTTGAGAATTCTCACTTTTGAGAATTCTCACTTTTGAGAATTCTCACTTTTGAGAATTCTCACTTTTGAGAATTCTCACTTTGAGAATTCTCACTTTTGAGAATTCTCACTTTGAGAATTCTCACTTTTGAGAATTCTCACTTTTGAGAATTTTCACTTTTGAGAATTTTCACTTTTGAGAATTTTCACTTTTGAGAATTTTCACTTTTGAGAATTTTCACTTTTGAGAATTCTCAAAACCGTTCACCGCCTGGGTGGGAGTCACTTTTGAGAATTCTCAAAACCATTCACCGCCTGGGTGGGATGGACGAGGGCGGGAGCGAGGGTGGGGAGAGGGTGAGGAGGAGAGGAGAGGGTCGGGAGAGAGGGAGGGATGGGAGGAAGAGCGGTGATGAAGGGGCGGACGGGAGGATGGGATGGGAGGAAGGAAAGAGGCGTAGCGTGCACTGGGAAGGGGGGGGGTGGGAGGGGGGACTGCCTCTGACAGTCCTCATAGAGTGCCTGGAGCGTCTTTGAGACGCCTCAAAAATAACCTCATTACGCCTGGAGCATCTCAAAATACATCTTCCTCACACGCCCCCTTCTCTTCTCTCCTCGCATCCCCACCCCTTTCTTCCATCGGCCTTTCGCCCTTTCAGCCTACCTTCTCGATTTCCCTCCAATCATCCTATCCTTCTCCCCTTCCCCTCGCCCCTCTCCTCTCCTCCGCCCGCCACAAGAGCCCCGGATATCAGCGGCAGCAAGGCACATCGGTTCCGCATTCTCCCTTCTTCTCACCTCACACTCTTTTTTTTTTTTTTTTTTTTTTTTCACACTCTCCTTCTCCTCTCCCTTACCTCCTTCTGCCCCCGCACCTGGTTCCAGTGGCTCCTTGCATTTTTCTCCATAGCCCCGAATAGCGGCAGCACAGTACCTCTCTTCCCCTTCTCAATTCACCTCCTACCTCCGCTGTTCCTCCCTCCCCTCACAATCCCCCCCCCCCCCCATCGTCCCTCCCCCTTTCCTCCTCACCGGTTTCCAGTGGCTCCTCGCGTTCCTCTCCAGAGCCCCAAAGATCAGCGGCAGCACAGCAGCTCAGTTCTGCCTTTTCACCGCTCCCCACCCCACCCACTCCCTTCCCATTCCTGCTCACCCCTGCTCACCCCTCCCTTTTACACTCCTTTCCTCCTCCCCCCCTCACCTGGTTCCAGTGGCTCCTCGCGTTCCTCTCAAGGGCCCCGAATATCAGCGGCAGCACGGCAGCGCGGTTCTGCGCCACGAGGCTGACGATGTAGTCGTTGTTCCACAGGAACAGGGTGCGCTCGGCAACCTGATCGACAGGGGAGGGTGCCCCAACGGGCGCGTGCAGGGTTGGGTTGGGTTGGGGGGAGGGGAGATGGGAAAAAGGGTTGGGTTCTGCGCCACGAGGCTGACGATGTAGTCGCTGTTCCACAGGAACAGGGTGCACTCCGCAACCTGATCGACAGGGGAGTGGCGGGAAGAGGGGGGCAGGAGGGTTGGTTGGGGACATGTGTTTTCTGCTGAGGCAGCACGGCAGCGCAGTTCTGTTCCACGAGGCTGACGATGCAGTTCTTGAAGAAGTGTTTTGAGACGTCTCAAAACACTTCTTCAAACACGAGTTCTGTGCCACGAGGCTGACGATGCAGTTCTTGTTCCACAGGAATAGGGTGCGCTCAGCAACCTGCATGGGTGGGGGGATGGGGAGGGGAGGGCAGGAAGGGAAGGGAGGAGGGGGAGAGGGGGAGGGGAGGGGGGTTGGTGGCGGGTGGACATAGCGACTTGTTATGAATGATATTCTGAGAACTCTCAAAAAAATCACTCATGTCACGTATGCAAGGACGTAGCGACTTGGTAAGCAGCACGGCATGGCAGCTTTTGAGGCGCCTCAAAAGTCACCCGGTATGCAGGGGGAGGGGAGAGGAGCGTGTGTGTACGGGGTGCCATGCCATGCATTATGTGTGCCATGCCATGCATTATGTGTGCCATGCCATGCATTATGTGTGCCATGCCATGCCCCATGTGTGCCATGCCATGCCCCATGTGTGCCATGCCATGCCCCATGTGTGCCATGCCATGCCCCATGTGTGCCATGCCATGGCGTGAGCTAATGAAATTGGAGGGAAAGACGAAGGGAAGGAAAAAAAACATATGCATAGCCCTCAGAGGCGTCACGGCCTGATGGCCACCTGATGGCCACCTGACAGCCACCTGACAATCACCTGACAGCCACCTGACAATCACCTGACAGCCACCTAACAGCCACGTGATAACCACTTGAGTCTGTGGAACCAGAGCTCCCTTCCATTCATTTTCACAGCCGCACAGTCCTCTTCCGATTTCATTCCCGCTTCTCCTCTTTTCACTAGCTGAAGGCCACCTGAAGGCCACCGGGCAGCCACGTGATAACCACTTGAGTGTGTAGAACCAGAGCTGAGCTCCCTTCCATTCATTTTCACCCAGTCCGTTTTCCGATTTCACTCCCTCCCCCCTCCCCCCTCCCCCCTCCCCCCTTCCTCTTTTCACTCGCTTCAGCCACTCCCCATACCCCGTTAATCTCATCTTGTCACCAAGAGAAGCAAAGGCAGTTGTCATGGCCCTCTCCGCTCCCCACCCGGCCCCACCCCCCACCTTAGATTTTAGAATAACCCTCAAATTCCCCCTCCCCTCTCTCTCCCGAGCTGCCGTATATGTTGACAAGGCAACCTTCAATCAAACCCACCCCTCCCCCCTCCCCCCTCCCCCCCCCCCCTCCCCAACCCGAGTTGACTTTTGAGTCGACTCAAAAGTCAACCCGAGCTGCCGTATATGTTGACAAGGCAACCTTCAATCAAACCCACCCCTCCCCCCTCCCTCCCCCCTCCCTCCCCCCCTCCCTCCCCCCTCCCTCCCCCCCCTCCCCAACCCCCCCTCCTCTCCCAAACTGCCTTAGCCCTCCCGAAGTCGAGCTGTAGGGGCAAAAATCTTCCTCCCTTCCCCTCACGCCTTCCGGCCACGAGACATTGAGGCAACCCTCACACTCCCCTCTCCCTCCGCCCCACGCTCCCCCCCTCCCCTCCCCCCTCTCCCCACCCCGCCCACACTCCCCGAGATGCCTTAGCCCTCCTGGAAGTGCCAAATCTTGACGCCCAAGCCCTCGTCTCCCCTCTCCTCCCCTCGCTTCCCCTCCCCTCCCCTCCCCTCCCCTTCCCTCCCCTCCCCTCCCCTCCCCTCCCCTCCCCTCCCCTCCCCTTCGCACCCTTCTACCTCCCCTCCCTTCCCTTCTCTTTCCTCTCCCTCCTCCCATTCCCCACCTTCCGCCCACATACAACAACTCGATAACTCACTTGCAAGTGGGAGCTATTGACGCACACCCTTCCCTCACACCCCCCCTTCCGCCTCTTCCTCCCTCCTCACCCCACACCCCATTACCTCACCGACAAGTACGAGCTATTCACACCCACCCCTTTCCCCACACCCCATTACCTCACCACCCCACACCACACCCCATTACCTCACCTCCATTACCTCCCTCCTCACCCCACACCCCATTACCTCACTGACAAGTACGAGCTATTGGCACCCACCCCTTTCACTACACCCCATTACGTCACTGACAAGTACGAACTATTCATGCAGTAAGCGACCGGGAGAGGAAGAGCGCGCGCGGAGCAAGCAGGCTGCACTGCAACCCTGTCGCTTACCCTTCTTCTTCCCGTTCCCATCTTTCCCGACACACACACCTCGTCTTCTCTTCTCCTGGATCACCCAAAAGTGCAATTTGCTACCCCACCAAAAGCCGAGCAAGCAGGCTGCACTGCAACCCTGTCGCTTACCCTTCTTCCCGTTCACATCCATCTTTCCCGACACACACACAGCTCGTCTTCTCTTCTCGTGGATCACTCTTTACATTTCTCAAAAGTGACGCCCAAATCACACGTACCTCGTCTTCTCTTCTCCTGGATCACTCAAAAGTGCAAGTTGCTACCCCACCGCGTGCGAATCGACATCCCCTCCCACTTAACCCCCTGCCCTCCTTCGTCCCCTCCCCCCACCCCCCCCCTCCCGCCTTCCCTTCCCTTACCCCCCCCCCCTCCCCCCCCCCCCCCCCCCCGCTTCCCTCCACCCTCCCCTACCCCCTGTTCACACACACACCTGGTCTCCCATTTTCTTGTCTCACCCGGAAATGATGCACCCCCCCCAGTTCTTCCAGATTGTTTGTTTGTTTTTATAGTAAACAAAAAGCTCCTCCCTCGCACTGTCGACGCAGGCATTTTTTTGCGAACTCTTGGAAAAAAAAAAAAAAACAAATTGCGGAATAGCAGCAAAATTCCTAAACAAATGTCTTCGAAGCGAAATTTTTCCCCGTCGCCCCCCCATCCCCTCATCACACCTTGCGAACTCACCTTTTTCTGTTCTCACCTGGAAATGCGAGCTGTTGAGGCAGCGCGCGATGCGAAGAAACAGCGGCGCGACGACCTGCTGGAACTCCGCGCCCTGCGTGAGCTCCAGAATCTCCTCCAACTCCCCGAGAAACAGCACCTCCTTCTGGCTGTTAGTTAAGGGCCAGTACTTAAGCAGCCCGCGCAGCACCACGTCCGCGAGCGACGGGTCCTTCTCGACAAACTGCGTGATACAATACGACAGCTGCTGGTGGTATATAGACACGCACTTGGGCTTGTGCAGCGGGATTAACGCGCGGACCAGGAACAGCTTGTGCTCCTCTTTAAGAGGCAGCGCGAACCCGTTGATTATGCTGCCCAGGATCTCTAACAGCTCCGCGATCCCGTTGTGCCGCTCCGTCTCGTAGATAAAACGGTAGAAGATGTAGTTAATCGACTTGCGGATAAACGGCCGGTGGACCATGAACTTGCCGTATATCCGGTGCAGAATGGTCTTTAAATAGTCGCGCTCGCGCGGATCCTCGGAGTTGAACAAATCTAGCAGCTTCAGCACGAACGGCTGGTCCAGGTACCGTTTCGCCACCTTAGCGTCAGTCTCGTTACTAACTACAAAGCGCAGCAGAAACTCGTAGACGATCTGCAAATGCGGCCACGCGAGTTCCATGTTCGGCTCCTCCTCCTCCGGATCGAACCCCTCCGACCCCGTGTTCTCGTGCGCGGACGGGGGGAGCGCGCGGAAGAGATTCGCGCGGAGCATCCGCACGATGTCTTCGAACACCGCCTCGCTGAACTTCCCCGTGCCGGAATTGACGTATTCGACTAGTTCTAGGAGCGTCTGCCGCTTAATCTCCTTCTCCTTCATGTTCTTAAGCGGGTCCGCAAAGTCGAACGTGTGGCAGCAGAGCGCGAGCTTGCGGATGAACAGCGCCTGTTTTTCCGGAGCCGCCACGTCCCGGAAAAGCGGGAGCGGCTCGGCGAACGGCGACACGTTCGGATTCGCTACAGCTGGACTCGCTACAGCGTCTGACTTGTCCTTGTTGAAGCTGCTCGTTCGAAGCGCCGCGCCAGCGGCAGGCGCGGCGCCTTTTGCGGCATTGGCCCCGGGAGCCTTTCCTCCTGAAGCGCCCCGGGGGGCTGGTCCCCCGGCGGGACCGGCGGGGGGCGGCGCGTGCCCGTGGTGCTGGGCGGCACCGGCGGTGCTATCGTGGTGCTCGGCTTTACTTCCTGTTTTCTTCCGACCCCCTGCGAACGTTTTCTTAACGGATTGCAGCATTGCTATGTGATTATAAGGGGGATGTGGCGAGGGGGGGAGGGGGAGGGGGAATGGATTGTGCTAGTGAAGTCCCCGTTGCTTCACATCCACTACGTTTGGGCTAACGAGCGTAGGAGAGTGACTAAATCGAGTCGGAAAGACTTGCGTGACTAAAGCCGGCGGCACAGCAGACAACGAAAGCGTACGTTAGTGTATTGAATCAATGGGGAGGAGCCCTAAAATCCGTCGTGGCCTGACAGGAAGTCGTGACGGCAAACTAACGCAAATGGCGGCAAAAGCTGGCAAAACGGCGCGACAAGTAGCGAGCTAGGTCGCAACTCTAAGAATGCGACCCAACGCGGGATCGCAATGACTCCGTGACTACCTACGGCTACTGTCGTATGAACCGTACTGAAGTATGTACGGAGTGACCGCTTAGGTCACTACGCCGCAGTCGAGGGTCAACTAATTAGGTAAGGCGACGCTAAAATAAATACTGTAAATCGAACGGCGGAGATGGAGGGTCTGTGAGGGGTGGAGGTGGAGAGGGGGATACGGGGCTTGTGAAGGGCGGACTGGATGGGCGGGAAAATACCCCCACCCTGGGAAATGCCGCGAAGTGGCGCGCTTATTGCGGAATGCGCGGACAAGACCAGGAGTTTGGCGCGGCCGAATCGAGGGCAGACTGATTGGTTTAGGTGGGGGGACAGTTGGACGCGTGAAAAGGGGAAGGGGAGGAAGCGGAGGGTGGTTCAGGCGGGTGGTGTGCATCTCGGTGATGCCGAGTCGTGCGCGGATCTGCTTGCGCAGGGGTCCTCCGCATGTTGTGTGGTTGGTTGTTTGCGCTGCGCATATGCGCAGGGAGTTGGTGGGGTGATAAGGGGGAGGCGGAGCGACACATGCAGTAAGTTTCTCACAAACAGTTTGGTGAGACGGGATTCATTAACAAGTGCATCCGTATATGTATAGTGAGGATTCTCGATGTAATCTGAAAGGGTTATTATACGAATGGTCACTAAACAGAACGCGCTATCACGAATGGTCATGGGGTTATCACGAACGGTCATTGAAACAGGCGATTCTATCATGGATGGTCACTGGTTATCACGGATGGTCACTCGTCGCCCCACGAGGCTATCACGAATAGTCACTGAAACAAACGTCCGCCCGAAAGTTGAAATTCTCCCCCTCACGACCTCTCACTGTTACGATTGAGGGACTCTTAGCGCGTCTATTCTGTTTGTCTTCTTCGAGTTGCACTGTTCCTGTTGGGCTGAGTGCCCCTTAGAATCTTTGGTAGGGTTAATCTCTGGGTAGAGTGATGTGTAACGGAAGCGTTAACAAAGAGATTCTGTACTACCTTGCGCTAGTATGTGAGGGCAAAGTAAGTTGATTAAAACAAGCAAGTACAAAGGTTTATATAAGAGTACAAAGAATACGAAGAGATATAATTAAACTGTTTTGCTGTTGCGGTTCGATACAGTGCGACTCGGGCAACTGCTCAATGTCGAGTCAGTTGTGTGTCCTTGCTGTCGCGTTGTACTTGTCAGGTCAAAGGTCGCTAACCTTTGACTTTCGAGTAACCTCCAGCGGTTACTTCAACCTCCGAGGGTTGTCTCGCCGGTGCTTCGGTATGCTTCGCTTTGCTTGTGCCTTAGTGTTTCGACACGACAGAGGCGCTTAGGACCTATTGTTTCCAACACTCCCCTTCGCTTCTGGAGTGTCGCTGACGTGGCTCTGTCCAGTCAGCAGCATGCAATATTCGAATTTCTGCTTTCCGAGCTTCTTGGTCAGGTAGTCAGCTGCCTGCCATCTCGGACGTGGGGCAGTATGACAGTTCGAGCCTTCCCTTCTCGATCTCGTCCTTCACGAAGAAGTATCGCAGGGCGACGTGTTTCGTCCTGTTCGCAAAACCGTTCTAGTTGGCGGTGCGAATTGCCGACTGGTTGTCACAGAACAGGGTAAAGTTAGGTAACTCGGCTAACTTCGCTTCTTCCAGCAGCTCACGAAGATAGAGTCCTTCCTTGGTGGCTGAGCAGAGTGCAATATATTATGCTTCAGCTGACAAGAGAGCAATTAGTTCCTGCTTGCTCGATTGCCAGGAGATAGGCCCGATAGGCTCGAAGCGGTAGATGTAGCCGGTGCGTGATCGTCTGTTGTCGGAGTCGCCCGCGTGATCTGCGTCGACGTAACCAATTAGCTTAGGTGGCGTGGTCGCGTTCTTGTGATATGTTAAGCCGATAGTTGGCGTACTGGCGAGATAGTGTAGAGCACGGTCGAGTTCAGCCATGTGTTTTGCTTCAGGCCTCTTGAGATGAGTGGCGAGCTGGCTTGCGGAGTATGAGAGGTCGGGGCGGCAGGTAACAGCTGCGAAGAGAATGAGAACAATAGAACAAGAATGAATGAACTATGAATGAAGTGAGTACATATAGGAAACCCTAATTGGGTTGTACCCCCTATGGGATACCCCACTATAGCCTACACAACAACATAAGCTATATAACGTTCTGACACACCCCCATAGGCAAAGTGGGGGAGAACAAGGGGTCACAAGACCAGTCAAGCAAAACAAAGCAAGCTCAGGGTGGATCAAAAAGTCACCACACAGTCCGAGCACAACGACAAGGCCACAAGGCTAGTTCACATGCAGGAGTACACACACATATATATATATATATACAGCTAGACAAGCAAGAGCAGGTATATATATGTGACAGTACAAGCAAGGTCAAGAGGAGAGCAAGTGAGGCAAGACAGGTACAAGACCCAGCTGAGTGCAGAAGCGCTGATGGTCACAAGGCGCGAGTGCCTTGGTGAACACGTCAGCAGTGTTGGCCTCAGAGGCCACGTACGCAAGCCGCAACCGTCCACGCTGCTGTAGCTCAGAGCAAGGAAGTAGCGGAGAGCAATGTGCTTCGTTCTGTGCTCCAGGCGCTGCTCTCGACACAAGGCCAGCATGGCCTTGTTGTCTACGTACAGCACTGGAGGAGAACGAGGCGGCTCTCCAAGGTCAGTCAGCAGGTAGGTGAGCCAGCGAAGCTCCTGTGCAGCCATGGCCCCGGCATAGATCTCAGCCTCACAACTGGAGCTGAGGACAGAAGACGAGCGAGTAGCCCGCCACGAGACAAAGCCGGAACCAAGACTGAAGGTGTAACCCTGTGACGACCGCTGCGTAGCCTGGTCGTCAGCCCAAGAAGCGTCCGCGTGCCCCGTAAGGACCACTGGACTCCGCCCTCCAAGCACAAGCCCCATGCCCGACGTACTGCACAGGTAGCGCAACACCCTCTTCGCTGCAGCCATGTGCTCTGGTCGGTGTCTCCCAGGAGCAACATAGCGTGCAAGAATGCTAAGAGGGTATGCAAGGTCAGGTCGTGTGCAGGTCATCAGGTACATGAGGCAGCCAACAAGCTCTGGGTACGGGCCACTCGACTCTACGGACTCATCCGAAGGCAGAGCTGAGAGCGAGTGGCGAGTAGACAGAGGAGTGGCCTGAGGCGAGGAGTACGTGAAGCCGAAGCGCTGAAGGACCTGCTGCACCATGTGTGACTGAGTCAAGGTAATGGTGCGGCGTGGTCTGTCGCGAGTGATCTGCAAGCCAAGATAGCTGCGCAGTTCACCCAGGTCTGTGCACGTGTGTCTCTTCAGCAGCTCGGACTTCATGTAGGCGAGTCCAGCAGTGTCCGCTGTGGCAAAGACCAAGTCGTCGACGTACACGAGGATGTAGAACGGCGGCAGAGAAGTGTCGGTGCGCAGAAACAGCGAAGGGTCAGCAGTAGAGGGAGCAAACCCAAGAGCCGCAAGCGTAGTCCTCAGTGTGTCGTGCCACTCACGCGGTGCCTGGCGGAGACCGTAGACTGGCCGTCGGAGGCTCCACAGGGTGCCAGGAGGGAAAGTCCCAGTGAAGCCAGGTGGACGGCGCAGCCAGATCTCCTCGTGCAGGCTACCCTGCAAGAAAGCTTTGCTGAAGTCAAGAGAGTGAATCTCGTAGTCGCGTTGAGCGGCTATGTGCAGCAGCACTCGAAGAGTGGTCATCTTCGGGGTGGGAGAGAAGGTCTGAAAGTAGTCAACTCCCTGCCGCTGACTGAAGCCACGAGCGACGTACCGCGCCTTGAAGACAGGTGGAGAGCCCGGCGGCCGCTTCACCCTGAAGATCCACATGCCACTGACGATGTTCGCCCCAGGAGGGGGAACCGCGTCAACGTAGGTGCCTGTGGACTTCCAGGAAGCCATCTCTGCATCCATAGCTGCCTGCCACTAAGAGGAGTAGGGACCCTCTACGGCCTCCGCGTAAGAGCGCGGAGTCGGGATGTCTAGTGCATCCGGGTCTCCCTCAGGGGCAAGCAGTACAGACGCGAGATGAGGTGAAGTAGTAGCCAGACACTGGAACTCCTCCTGCCTGTCCTCAAGGACGTCCGTGCCAAGAGCACACTCACCCCCGACGGACGGAGGACAAACAAACGCAGACTCAGCAACAAGACTGGCAGCGTAGTCTAGACGACAGCGAGCAGCAAAGTCGACGAGCTCAGCAACAAGCGCAGACGCAGCAGCGGACTCAAACAAGGGGTCAGTGACGACAGTAGCAAGAAGACGCGTGACAGTAGGAATGGCAGCGCGAACAGAGTCCGACTCCGGGTCGGTAAGCGCAGGAAGAGAGGACGCAGGAGGAGAAGGCAAAGGGGCACGCAGAGGAGCAGTGGACGGACGCAGAGACATCCGGTGCGTGCCAGGGACAGGAGGAGGACGCTGACGCGAACCGCGACCACTAGCGCGAGCAGCACGAACAGGCGACGCGGGACGAGACGCAGGCTCACGACGCTCAACAAGACCTCCAGTAGGACCAGTGTAAGGAGAGGGAGCAGGAAGTGGGTAGGCGGGCTATAACTGTGACTGTGACTGGACAGGCAGTGGACACTCTACAGGAGGAGAAAGACCAAGAACTTGCTGCAGGAGCGGAACGAAGTACGGCCGAGGCCGCGCGGCGACTCCAGACACAGCAGGGACAGCACCAACACCCTCAGCAC